CCGCCTCGTCCGTGGCAGCGCAGCGCGAGTCACGACCCGGGCTGCTGACGCTGCCGTGGGCCCCAAGCTAAGCTCGGCTCAGTCTCGACTGTATTTGCCTTGATAAAACAGTCTGGAAAACCTGCCTTGAGCGCGAGCCCTTGACAGGAGCCGCATCGTTAGCGTCGCACTGATGTAGACTGCGGACACAGGTGAGAACAGATCTAGGTAAGTTGTGCCTTATATACTGGGAGGTATTGTTTTATATGCGGATGTGTGCCTTTTTATATACGGATATATGTGCCTTTTTTTCATTTTGAGATCAAGTGAACCCATAAAATTCAATTTGAAACACAGTGCTTTTTACTATATTGACTTGTATCATCATTATTATAATTAATAATATAAGCAATTTTGCAGACGATATATCTAAAGATGGGGCTTTTTTGTTTTGGTTTTTTGAGACAGAGCTTTGGTCACAACTCACGTCCATCTTCCTGCCTCAACCTCCCAAGTGCTGGGGTTACAGGCGGGCCTTGCCACGCCCGCAGAGAACGCATTTGCGCTTGATTTAGCAGCTGTTACTAATCAGCTGGATATCTCATATGGACCCAGAAGAGACATGGCCAACTTCTGTCTCACGAGACAGAAAGTATTCATGGACTGCCAGCTTGACCTACTTTCTTTTTTGCCCACTTGATATGATTAAATTATCCAAAAGGCAAAATTCAGAGTTATACTCTTTCTGGGAGGCCTGATAAAATGTGACATCTTAAGGCAGTTATGTAAGACACTGGTTTCTTTTGACTCATGCTAAAGTGTACGCTATTAATGCTTGTATTTCAAATATTTACATTGGGTATGTATGACCTTGAAAAATACTCTTAAAATTTGCTCACTTAAAGTGAGATCTGAACTCAGGCATGGCGGCACATGCCTATAATCCCAGCACTCGGGAAGCTGAGGCAGGAGGGTGTTGCCAGTTCAAGGCCAGCATGATTTACAAAGTGAGATCCTGTCTCAAAAAACGCAAATCGGTCAAGACAATGAAAAATGAACTTATAGATGTGAACTAACAAACTAGTGACCCCTCATCATTTTTCGTAAGTACTTTCATCAGTTACCTTCCTTAACACCATTGCGTGAGACTAGTAAATCTAGTTATAGAGCCCAGGGAAGTTGTGTCCCCCAGCAGTGATGGTGAATGCTTTGCCCTCAATAGTTCACAGAGTAATAAAATTTAAACCCCTTAGGAAAGATTTACTAGGTGCATCCTCTGTAGTGGACATCATGCTTGGCTTGTGATGGTTTGGCTGGTCTTAAACCACGTCATTACCCCTTTCCTTTCCCTTACAAGTGCTCCCTGACTCCTCTGTGCCTCCTCTCCAGGGAGTAAGTAGCCTCGCTCCAAATTCCCTCCAGGGCATATTATCCATGTAGCTGGTCTTACCTAAGTGTGAAAAGTGGCCAGGAGTGGTGACACACCTGTAATCCCAGTACTTGGGAGGCTGAGGCAGGAAGATCACTGCAAGTTGGGGACCAGCCTGAACCAATAGTAAGACCCTGTCTCAAAAACTAACCAACCAAAGGGCCGGCCAGATAGCTCAGCAAATTAAAGTGCCTGATTAGGCAGGCGCAGGGACAAGGTTCGATCCCAGCATGCCGCGCTGGCCCTGCGGGGGGGGGGGGCACTAAAACAGCAAGACTGGGCAAATAGTGACACATCTGCAATCCCAGCACTTAAGAGGCTGAAAACAGGAGGATCACTACAAGTCTGATCTGTGTAGTGAGACCCTGTACTAAATGCATTAAAAAAAAAAAAAATGTAAGGGCCTGGGATGTAGCTCAATATGAAGACCCTGGGTTCAATCCAAATACCACAAACTCAGTAATTAATAGGTGGTCAACACTCTTATGTATGAATTTATGGAACAGCTTTTCTTTTGAAAAGTATGTAGGGTGTGGTAGTGCTTGCCTATAGTCTCAGCACTCATGAGTGAGGCAAGAGGACTGCCATGAGTTTGAGGCCAGGCTGGACTACATGGAGAGTTTAATACTAGCATGGAATATACAGTAAGACCCTGTCTCCAAAAAAACCAAAAAGTATGTATAAGTTACAAGCTGTCTCTACTAAATGTGTCCTCCACTACACTAGAATCAACTTGAGGGCAGAAACAGTGCTTGCAGTTTGCATCTTACTAAACCCAGCCTTGTGCTAGGAGCATTTTAAAATTTAATTAATGCATGCTGGTTAGATAATTGTGACTAAGGTTTATGCTTTAGCATGGAACTGATATATATGCTCTAGTTACAGGTTTTACTTTTTCCTAACAACCACCTTTCCTACAAACAACTACGACCACTTTGAATTCTTTCGGTGAAAGCAGAGATCACAAACACCAAGGTACGTGCTTTATTTTCCATTAGTTGGTACTTATGGAGTCACACATAACATTTCAGTTATTCATCCCATAACAGAACGTTTTCCTGCTTGTGACTCCAGAAGAGAAATCCCAAACAAACAGAAAGCCAGCCTTCACAGACACAAATAAGAAGCCAAGAATCTTCTAAAACTCTAATCTCGAAGTTCTGTTGCTGCCTTCTATACAGTAACCAGTGTCATTCTGTTCAGTAATTCTACCAGAATAAGTGTTCACATTTCAAATTCGATTACTCTTAAAATATTGGGTTATGTTCAAGTAGTAAAAATGGTGAATTTCACTGTTTTTGCATTTGCTTATTATAGTCTAGTTAAAAACCAGTTTAAACATTTTTTAACTTATTCAGTTCAGCAAATGCATGATTCTCTTAATTTCACTGAAGCTGAAGATCAGTACTTCACAGGAGGAAATGTATGAGATTGTAGCACTAATTTCTGAAATAAAACATTGAAATTGCTTCTCTTTCCAACTTCTTTCAGTCCATCACTATTCTGCATGTTCCTGTTCTTGTCCTGGAATTAGCCACCGAATGCTCTCAGTTCGAATGGTAGCATACATAATAAAACTAATTAAAAAGAATAAGGAAAATACAAGCAACCAGTCCACACTTTTTATCAGAGTGCTGGGAAGAGGGCCTATTTGATCAGCTTGAGTTACCACCACATTTTTCTTGGCTTCTATACCTGGAAGAGAAATCAATTGTTTCAAATCAGAAAATACATCTGACCTAGATTTTTCCCAAGTATGATGCCTGATACATAAAATGACAGGCAATCCTAAAATAAACATCATGATTAGTGTATCTGGGTTGGATTTCACCTGCTTGTCAGTGTCATTTGTAACTTGCCTTTCTTCCTGCTACATCAAAGAATTGGGAATCCATTCAGCTGTTCAAAGCTAAAACTCCAGAATTTCTGTGGACTCATCAGCTTTCCCAGTCAAAGCCTTGTAAGAATTGCCTTTTGTTTGCATGAGCCAAGAATTCAACAAGTAACTAGCAAGCTCCTCTCAGGAATCTGAAGAATGTTTTCACAGGTTAAATAATACTGAATACAAAATGCTTTCAAAAGGTTACTGGAAGAATTGTTAGAACTTAGCCACCCTCTTCTGGAGCACACACCTGTAATCCTAGCACTCAGGCAGCTGAGGCAGGAGTACTGCTGTGAGTTCAAGACCAGCCTGACCTACACAGCAAGACCATGTCTCAAAAAGCAAACAAAAAAAGAACTAGCTAACCACTGCAAGCAGGTATGGTGGCACATGGCTGTAATCCCAGTACTGTGGAGGCTGAGGCATAAGAATTGCCAAGAGTTCAAGGCCAGCCTGAAATATATACCAACACTGTCTTAGTTGAAACTAAGTATTAAAGAACTGAGCCACCACTGGGACCTAACAATTCTAGGACGCCTACATTTCATTTGTTCTAGGTTTTCCTAGCCCACTAACCAAAATAGCTGCCTCTCCACACATTACCTAGGGATCCAGGACAAGACTTGGGATGCTTTGCCTAAGGAGAGTCACATGGAGAGAAAACATTCTCTCAGGCTTTCACAGAGAGCACATTGTCCAAGCATTGGCCATGACTCATCCACGTGGCTGACACTGACAAAGGTTCTACAATCTGAGGTACAGGATCTCAGGACAAATCCTGAGGGGATTTCGCTGACCTTATCAGACCCAAAAGTTACAACTATTGTTGCATAGGTCCTGCTTTACCTTGGTCTTAACCATCCAGCAGAAAAGTATAAAAACAGTATAAGAAGTAAAGCCATGCTATTATGTTGAGCTGTGGGGGACTCA